GGAGGGGCTGATCTGCACACTTAAGGGACTCAGGCCAATCCCCAAGCAGGAGGCTTGGCATGGTGTTAGGGCAGCCTTTAAGTGTCACTGAGCCTGTTTAGCAGCAGGAGAGTTCATGAGGAAGATGGAGTGAGAAGCTACGATGCAGGAGCCTGGGAGGGCGCACAGTGGGAAGGTTCCTACCTATAGGATGGGATCTATAAAGGAGAATCACTTGACTTCACCGGGCCCCAGAGAGAACACCAGCTGTGAAGCTAGGGAAGGAACAAGCCTAGCAGAAAGCCTGAAGGCAGCCACCATCCCGATGACACATGCTTTGTCATGTGATTAGCTGTGTCCAATCACAGCTGATCACATATAAACAAGGAAATGCCGGTTATCGGTAGTCCTCTCCTCACGCTGACAGCACGAGGAGAGGTGAGCTGGTAAGCAGCATTCCTCAGACATCTACACTGGTGGGGACATCTACACTGATCATCAGGGCACTGATGATCAGTGTAGCCCTATCTGTGCCACCTGTCAGAGCCCATCAATGCCACATATCAGTGCCCATCAGTGCTGCCTTTCAGTACCAGCTATCAATGCCAGTCAGTGACACCTATCAGTGCCAATCAATGCCACCTATCAGTGTCAATGCTGCCTATCAGTGCCACCTATCAGTGTCCATCAGTGCCACTTATCAGTGCCTGTCAGTGGCGCCTACCAGTGCACATCAATGCCACGTATCAGTGCCCATCAGAGCTGCCTTACAGTGCCAACTATCATTGCCAGTTAGTGACACCTATCAGTGCCAACAATCAGTGCCAGTCAGTGCCACCTATCAGTGTCCATCAGTAGTGACTGTCAGTGCTGCCTAACAGTTCCAGTCTGTGCCACCTATCAGTGCCATATATGAGTGCTGCCTTTCAGTGCCAATCAGTGATGCCTGTCAATGCCCACCAGTGATGCCTATCAATGCCCACCAGTGATGCCTATCAATGCCCATCAGTGCAGCCTATCAGTGCCCATCACTGCAGCCTCATTAATGCACATCAGTAAAGGAGAAAAATTACTTATTTACAAAATTTTATAACAGAAACTAAGAAAAAAACTTTTTTATTTTCATAATTTTCAGTATTTTTTTAGTTTGTTTAGCAAAAAATAAAAAAAACTCAGTGGTGAGTAAATACCACCAAAAGAAAGCTCTATATGTCTCGAAAAAAAGTATACAAATTTCATACGGGTACAGCGTTGCATGACCCGCGCAATTGTCATTCAAAGTACAACAGCGCTGAAAGCTGAAAAATTGGCCTGGACCGGAAGGGGGTATACGTGCCCGGTAGGCAATTGGTTAAAGGGATGAGGTGGCAACCCTACCCAGTGTGTGAAGTGCAAGAGTCAGGACTATGAAGTGTTCAGTGCCCCTCACTACATTGGTGCTCAATGGTCAGCGCCCCTTATTACATTGGTGATCAGTGCCCCTTAATACATTGGTTATCTTTGGTAAGTACCCCCTTTTCACATTTCTGTTTGACACTGTCAGCAGAGTGCAAGGTATGTCATTGTGACAATCAGTCATGCTCTGCTAGAGATCTAGCTAGACCCGATGACTTGTACCTAGGTACCTGGGTCAAATGATTCCTATGCTTAATAGCCATCCAATAAAGTGAAGCTCAAGAACCTATTCCAGCTGGCTCAACAGAGAGTGGGGTTTACTTAACCATCACTGTTGTTCATCATGACTACACCGTGTTTACAAAATGTACAAACTACAAAAAACATCCTTTTTATAAGACTGGAGAGACATTGTGCAGAATTCTAATACAAGGTGTGGGGCGAGGAATCTGTGACAGTACAATTTGCATACTTCCTATTTTACATACAGGAACTCTGAGCTTATTTCCTTTTAGACTTCATATGATATAAACTCCGTATTCTGGAAACCAATGATCTGTTTGTGTGACAGTCCTGACAAGATGGTCCCTCTGCCATATCTGCTCTGTGTCCTTTATCTTTATACAAAAGTTACAGAAAATGTATGATCACTGGATGATTTCTTTAAACATCCTTTTATTTTACCAATCCTTATCTTTTTGTAACAATATTAGAATCATAGAATATTTCTATCTGGTTTAATTGCAGCTAATTATAATTCTTCTTTGTCTCCCAAGCCTCTTATGGAGAGATTGTGATGACGCAGACTCCAAAACATATCTCAGTGTCTCCAGGAGAGAAAGTTCAGATAAACTGTAAATCAAGTTCTGATGTTACTGACTCAGCTGGTGACAGTCTAATATATTGGTTCCAAAAGAAAGCTGATCAACCCCCAAAACGTCTTATCTATTGGGCAACCAATCGCCACTCTGGAGTCCCGGACAGATTCAGTGGCAGTAGATCTGGATCTCCGTACAGAGATTTCACTCTTACAATCAATGGAGCTCTGGCAGAAGATGAAGCCGAGTATTTCTGTATGCAGACCAAGAGCTTCCCTCTCACACAGTGATACAACGCCGTACAAAAACCTTCTTCCTCTTATCTATAATTAGTGTATCTCAATCTAAATAGACAAGGCATGAACGTACACCCTGTTCCAAATTAATATACAAATTATATTTTTCTCATTTACCTAAATAATTGATGTAAATAACAGTCAGCATAATTCTCATGTTACAACTATATTAAGAGTACAATTCACATTTTATTGAACAAACCTCCTAATGATAACAGGATTTTTGTTAAACATAAAACACTTCCAATGACTGTTCCCAATTATTCCGCACAGTAAGTTTCAAAACACTTTATAGGTTGTAAAGAACTGAAAATTGTCATTTGTTGTGTTTGCAGCATATTTACTGAAATCAAAAGCTATTTCAATCAAACTTTTAACAACATTTTAACTTTTTAAACATTTTAACAGGTCTTGTTACATTGTAACATTGGACCCCTTATTGATAGCAGCTTCACAAGTCTTGCATCCATTGAACTTGTGAGTTTTTGGACAGTTTCTGCTTGAATTTGTTTGCAAGATGTCAGAATAGCCCTCCCAGAGCTGCTGTTTGGATGTAAACTGCCTCCCACCCTCATAGATCTTTTGCTTGAGGATGCTCCAAAGGTTCTCAATAGGATTGAGGTCAGGGGAGGATGGAGGCCACACCATGACTTTCTCTCCTTTTATCCCTATAGCAGCCATTGATGCAGAGGTATTCTTTGCAGCATGAGATGGTGCATTGTCATGCATGAAGATGATTTTATTACAGAAAGCATAGTTCTTCCTTCTGTACCAGGGAAGAAAGTGGTCAGTCATAAACTCCACATACTTTGCAGAGGTCATCTTTTACACCTTCAGGGACCCTAAAGGGGCCGACCAGCTCTGTTCCCATGATTCCGGCCCAAAACATGACTCCACCACCGCCTTGCTGACGTCGCAGCCTTGTTGTGGCCGTCCATCAACCATCCACTACTCCATCCATCTGGACCATCCAGGGTTGCACGGCACTCATCAGTGAACAGGACTGTTTGAAAATTAGTCTTCATGTATTTTTTTTCTGCCCAATGCAGCCATTTCTGCTTGTGAGCATTGGTTATTGGTGGCTGAATAGAAGGTTTATGCACAGTTGCAAGACTCTGGAGGACTCTACACCTTGATGTCTGTGGGACTCCAGAGGCACCAGCAGCTTCATATATCTGTTTGCTGCTATGTAATGGTATTTTAGCAGCTGCTCTCTTGATCCGATGCATGGATCTGGCAGAAATCTTCCTCAATGTGCCTTTATCTGCATGAACCCGTCTGTGCTCTGAATCAGCCACAAATCTCTTAATAGTGCGATGATCACGCTTACGTTTTCGTGAAATATCTAATGTTTTCATACCTCGTCCAAGGCATTGAACTATTTCACTCTTTTCGGCAGCAGAGAGATCTTTTTTCTTCCCCATATTGCTTGAAAATGGTGCTCTGCTTAATAATGTGGAACACCCTCCTTTAGTAGTTTTTCCTTAAATTGGGCTCACCTGCCAATCTAATTATCACAGGTGTCCGAGATTGTTTTCAGTGATCAAAAGAGCCCTGACACACAATGCCATCCATGACTTAAACTGAAAAACAAAATATTTAATCTTTGTGACACCATATTTTTCACTCCATAAGATGCACTTTTTTTCCCCCCCAAAAAAGGGGGGGAAATGCCAGTGCGTCTTATGGAGCGAATATGGAGCGGCCGGGTGCCAAGTGCGCATGTGCAAGAAGCGGTGCTCTTTGTGAATGGTAAAGCGGCACCTGGGACACATGACAGGTCCCAGAAGCCACCGGACCACAAAGCGCAGCGCTTCTCGCTCATGTGCACTGGGCACCCGGCTGTCAAGCCGTGCGCCCACACTACAGAAGCCGGGAAGACAGCGCACGGCTGGATAGAGGAACAGGTAAGGTCCCGCTGCAGAGCTGAGCGTCCGGCCCGGTATTCTGACACGGTGGCAGTGGAAATACCAGACCGGCCGCTCCATATTCACTCCATAAGACGCACTGACATTTCCCCCCTTTTTTTGGGGGGGAAAAAGTGCATCTTATGGAGCGAAAAATATGGTGTCACAAAGATTAAATATTTTGTTTTTCAGTTTAACTCATGGATGGCATTGTGTGTCAGGGCTCTTTTGATCACTAAAAACAATCTCGGACACCTGTGATAATTAGATTGGCAGGTGAGCCCAATTTAAGGAAAAACTACTAAAGGAGGGTGTTCCACATTATTAAGCAGGTAAGGTCCCGCTGCAGAGCGGACACTAACTAAAGAACAACTCCGCGGAAGTAAGAGCGGGTACCTGCCAAATTCAGGTACCCGCACCCCCCCCCCCCCTCCCCAAAGGTCAGCAGTCATTTCCTGTACTGTCCGCAGTCTCTGGTCATCTCCTGTACTATATCCGCAGACTCTGCTCATCTCCTGTACTGTGTCCGCAGTCTCTGGTCACCTCCTGTACTGTGTCCAGTCTCTGGTCATCTCCAGTACTATGTCCACAGTCTCTGGTCATCTCCTGTACTGTGTCCGCAGTCTCTGGTCACCTCCTGTACTGTGTCCAGTCTCTGGTCATCTCCAGTACTATGTCCGCAGTCTCTGGTAATCTCCTGTACTGTGTCCGCAGTCTCTGGTCATCTCCTGTACTATGTCCGCAGTCTCTGGTAATCTCCTGTACTGTGTCCGCAGTCTCTGGTAATCTCCTGTACTATGTCCGCAGTCTCTGGTAATCTCCTGTACTGTGTCCGCAGTCTCTGGTAATCTCCTGTACTGTGTCCGCAGTCTCTGGTCATCTCCTGTACTGTGTCCGCAGTCTGGTCATCTCCTGTACTGTGTCCGCAGTCTCCGGTCATCTCCTGTACTGTGTCCGTAGTCTCTGGTCATCTCCTGTACTATGTCTGCAGTCTCTGGTCATCTCCTGTACTATGTCCGCAGTCTCTGGTCATCCCCTGTACTGTGTCTGCAGTCTCTGGTCATCTCCTGTACTGTGTCTGCAGTCTGGTCATCTCCTGTACTATGTCCGCAGTCTCTGGTCATCTCCTGTACTGTGTCTGCAGTCTGGTCATCTCCTGTACTATGTCCGCAGTCTCTGGTCATCTCCTGTACTGTGTCCGCAGTCTCTGGTCATCTCCTGTACTGTGTCTGCAGTCTGGTCATCTCCTGTACTATGTCCGCAGTCTCTGGTCATCTCCTGTACTGTGTCCGCAGTCTCTGGTCATCTCTTGTACTGTGTCCGCAGTCAGTCTCTGGTCATCTCCTGTACTGTGTCCGCAGTCTCTGGTCATCTCCTGTACTGTGTCCGCAGTCTCTGGTCATCTCCTGTACTGTGTCCGCAGACTCTGCTCATCTCCTGTACTATGTCCGCAGTCTCTGGTCATCTCCTGTACTATGTCTGCAGTCCATTGGTTCCGAATATTTTTTTTCCTGTTTTCTGCCTCTAAAACCTAGGTGCGTCTTATGGAGCGAAAAATACGGTAAATAGAATTTACATAATCATTTGAAACAGGGTGTATTAATAGCATAAGTATATACGTAATTGAAAAAGAATTATGCTCAGACTATCCAAATGCACTAATGTGCTACATAATATCAGACAGCTGAAATATAATTTTTGATAGAACATAAGAGATGGGATACACCATTTTTCTTTCTGTTGACATTTTTGGAAAGAAATATTTAGGAAATAGTTTGTTGTACTTTTTTTTTTCCAGTGCCCATTGAACTCACACAATTGAACACCACATGAAATTATCATTACTTTGCTGAGGTTATGTCTGGGATGGTCCAACTCATACAACCTCCTGTACCTTCAAGTTGGTTACTCAGTATGATGGTTAACCTCAATGACCAAAAACAAGAGAAAGTGGAATAGGATAGAACTTACCAGCAGCCCCAGCAGGTGAAGCTGTCATTTGTCTAATGCAGTGTTTTATAATATGCACAGAAGAATACTGAGTTTTGGGTGCCCGCATTTAATGCCTTTGATGAACTTCACCAATGTTACTTGAGAACAGGTATACTTTACATCATATGTGTGTAACCTACCTGTGATGTGACTGATAGGATTTCCTCTTCAACAATTTTGGGGATATTACAGCAATCAAAAATGGTATGTTTGTACTTTTAAATGGACAATTAATTATTACTAAAATATTATCAAAACAGACAAAAGGAACATAAGGAAATAAACTATACTAAAAACACAATTGAGCAGAAAAAAAGCCAAAAAATCTCAAATCTATAAAACAATGAAAACAATAAAAATGTATTTAAAAAAAACAAAACAAAGAAATATTAAATTATTAAAAACAAGCAAAAAACAACCTAAATGTCTCTCAGGGTTTACTACTTTAATATTTTCCTAAAGATTTCCACTAGAAATCACAAATACTTCATGAGTCTTAAATAAGTTAGAGTGGACATTTCCTCTCATTAATTTTTATAAGTGATGCAGAAAAAGATTGTTGCCCTAAAACCGAAAAACCCTACAATAATTGAAATTAAGTTATATGTTTATACACTGCCCTAAAATGACAACTTCTTGCACTTGTTGAATGGCTTGCCTATCACTTCAATTAGCAGCGTGATTTAAAGTGGAATAGTTAAGGAGAACCTGCGCCCACTTGCTATAGATTTGGCACAGTCTTTCTACCCACAAAATATGCCTTAGTTACTGTGCCACAAGCAGAAGTCACAAAGACACACATAAACCTCAGGACAAATTATATTTTTTAAAAACAATGAGACCATTCCAATACATCTGTATTTCTGCATACACTCATTTTCACTGAAACGGTTGGCATCAATACAACAACCGACAACTGTTGAGACAATACATACTTTGGTCAACTATAAGTCTAGCTCAACAAAGCATAAAAAGTTCAGGGGTCAAAACTAGGGAATGTACATTGTAGTTTATAGAGTGCAGGTGTCAGGATTATATACCGTGTTTCCCAGAAAATAAGACACTGCCTTATATTTTTTTTGGCTCAAAAAAACACACTAGGTCTTATTTTTTTAATGTACAGGTGTGGACACGGGGTGCAGTTGTGGATGAGGGTTACTATAGAGAGGGCTGGCTGATGACAGTTGTGAGCTGCAGTCAGGTGTTGCAGAGGTGAATTGACAGGTGAGTTTCAGACATGGTGCAGGGGTGAGTTGCAGACAGGGTGCAGGGGTGAGTTTGTGGGCAGGGGATGCAGAGGTGAGCTGTGACTTGGGGGGTGCAGAGGCAAGCTGTGGCCAGGGGGTGCAGAGTTGAGGTGTGGCTGGGGGGTGCAGAGGTGGGTTGCAACTCAGCACACCTCTGCACCCCCCCAGCTGCAGCTCACCTATGTACCCTGTCTGCAACTCACTTGTCAATTTATCTCTGCAACACCTGACTGCAGCTCACCTTTGCACATCCCCCCCTCCACTGCCCTCATAGGGTTAGCTAACTTTGCAAAGCACGGCTGTCAGCAGCTGGCCCCTCTCTATAGTAGCTCCCATTTTGGGTTCTATCTTCCCACACAGTGCACCAAGCGCACTCACTCACCACTCCGCCTCTTCCCCACTGGCTGGTGATCACCCTTGGGGCATCGGTTTCCATGCATTAGGCTGCAGGACGAGTTGTCCCACCCGTCCCTAAACACACTGCACACTGTGCCCACAGATATCTATTCCTTCCCTGTCCCACAGTGAGTACAGAGGTAGGGAGGTGTCAGGAATGGACTCAGCACTGGTGGTGGGACTCACCTGCCGTGTGGGCTGCAGTACCAGGGCTGACCAGCGGGTGCTCTCAGCAGCCAGAAGCTCACTTCTGCAATCAGCCAAACCTGGGGCTGATTGCAGAAGGTGTATTTAAGGCATGACCAGGCCTGTGATCTGGGCCTTGGTGTATGTTTTCCCATGAGCCCCTGTACCTAGTATCTTGTGTTCCTGCTTCGTTGCTGACCCGGCTTGATCCTGACCTCTGCTGACCGTCTCCTGTTGAACCCCTGGCTTGCCTGACCATCCTTCTGTCTGATCCCCTGTACCACGCTGCCCGTGAGTTACTGAACCCAGCTTGTGACCCTGACCATTCTCTGCCTGCTCCTTTGGTACCTTGCTGCCCGCACGTTGCTGACCTGGCCCGTCTGACCATGCTAACTACTCTGCCATCCATCCATCGTGCACGGATCCAGCCGTCCCTGCTCACACCTTCTGCCTCTTCACATCAGGCTTTCTACCTGCACATACCTCTGGTGGATCCCTCTACCACTAGCAGGTGTACTCAGGGGCTGCGACCTGGTTCCTGTCTGCTCCAAGTCCATCCCCACCATCAGGGGCCCTGGTGAATAAGCAGACTGGGACTTAGACTCAGCGCCCTGGGGAATCCTGTCCTGAGGACCGCTAGAGGTACCACCAAACGGACATTACAGAACCCTACGGCCGGCCTGACCACTCCACCTCTCCAGCCCTGACTACGCCTGTGTTCCTGCACCTACTAAGATTAGTGGAAGGTTGGTTTGTTCTCTGTGCGTTTATATATGTATGTATGTGTATATATATATATATATATGTATATGTATATATATATATATATATATATATATATATATATATATATATATATCTGGGTGGCTAATAATAAACTGTATTATTATACTATACCTGAAGCTGGCGTTTACCTGTGTCAGTCCACACCTTTTTCTGGTCATTCCTAGATTCCTGACAGGAGGTTCTGTGGGAGCAGATGGTGCTGTCACTTATAAAAGGAACTGTCACTTGCAAACACAAAATCCGCGCTTCTGTGTTGTTTAAGAGACAGTAGATATTGGTGTGCATAGGGCCAGTGTCAGAGGTGGCAGAATGGCGTTCCGCCATGTTCCAGCTGAAAAAAAGCTCTGATCACAACTAGGTCTTATTTTCGGGGTAGGACTTATACTTTCACTATTCCCAAAATTAGTACTAGGTCTTATTTTTGGGGCAGGTCTTATTTTCGGGGAAACAGGGTAGCATACAAAAAATCCCAGGCAGTGTAGTGGACAGGACTTAAAGCGATACTAAATGTTAATTTTTTTTTTTTCCCCATAAAATAATAAATATGTTATACATACTGTGACGGAAGCGTAAGCAGGACAGAACACACAGAGGATGGAGAACACGCAAAGCTTTATTGAGACAACAAAATGACAGTCATTCAATGGGGAAATGGCAGGAAGGGTGATTTGTGTGCAAACTAGGGACTATTCCCGGCACGAGTGGTCTGGCCAATAGGGGGTGGGGACAGCGAGGAGGGGATAAGATACTTGTAGTCCAGCACCAAGGGCAAAAGAAGAGTCTCTGTGGTGGATGGTAATCCCACAAAGGGCAAGGGTCATCACAGGAACAGTTCGGGTAAAACAGGGACCGTCCCAGAAGCAGTTTTTAGGTAAAACAGGGGAAAGCATGTGTCCACGGATCCGACAGGGTGTCTGGTCCCCCAGGGATAAGGCTTGTGTGGTGTTCCCCTCTCTTTGGACTGAGGTCTTCGGCAGCAGTGAACAATCTTTTCCCCCTCTCTTTGGACTGGCGTCTTCGGCAGCAGGCGAAAACAATCTCCCCCCTAGGCTAAGGTCTCCGGCGACAGGCAGGCAATCCACCCCTGCACTGGGGTCTTGGGCAGCAGGCAGGCGATCTATCTCTGGGCTAGGGTCTCGGGCAACAGGCCAGACCATCTCCCCCCTAGGCTTGGAGGGTCCCAGGCAGAGCCTGGTCATGAGGGTCCCCGCGTCAGCTAGGCTCCCTCCGTGACTGCAAAGCAAAACTGGGGTCTCGGGCAACAGGCGCAACCTACCCCTAGACAGGGGTCATCGGGCAACAGGCGGGCAACCTACCCCTGGGCAGGGGTCTCGGGCAACAGGTGGAAACCTACCCCTGGACAGGGGTCTCAGGCAACAGGCAGGTGATCTCCCCCCTAGGCTTGGGGGGTCCCAGACAGAGCCTGGTCATGAAGTTGCCCTCCCGCCTCAGCTGGGCTCCCTCCGTGACTGCACAGCGGACTGGGGTCTTGGGCAACAGGCGGCAACCTACCCCTGGGCAGGGGTCTCAGGCAACAGGTGGCAACCTACCCCTGGACAGGGGTCTCGGGCAACAGACGTGCAACCTACCCCTGGGCAGGGGCCTCGGGCAAC